GTTTTTCGCAAGAGCCGTTTGTGCTAGTTTGGATGTTTCAAAGTGTATCAGTGTATCCAAGCGCTGAATTTTTAAGGCGAACTCCATCAGTTTGTACTTTACTGCATCAGCTCAGTCACGTACAAATAGCCATGGGAAACATCGATCAAATTTAGCTAGTGGACTTCATCAGATATCGGATGTTACCGCCCCGAACTTCGTGATTATGTCGCCCCCTGTGAATGAGATGTCGCCTCCTGTCTATAATATGATGTTGATTTAATATGTCCCAGCATAAGACTGAAGAAACAGACTGTCATTCCGTTGCTGTCTTCCCTAGAAATATTTCAGAATCGCCCTTTGAGTCCACCGTAGTAGGCCAAATAAAAAATCCCTTTTTATCCGCACGCGACTCAGAATGATGGATTGATAGATCTAAGTAAAAATTCATGTTCTATCGAAAATAATGGGTAATAAATTACGACTACTGGGGTCAGTCCGCTTTGCAATTTGGAAAAATTTCAATGGGCCAGACTAGTTGGTCACCTAGTAAGCTCTGAAAATACAGACTGGTTCTTGTTTGGAGGGACTAATTGTGGGTGAAACAATAATTTACCATAAATAATTGATTAGCATTCATCCGTTTGCTAACGACCAGACTTGCGAAATCCACACTGTCGTGGTTCGACCGATAGAGCTTACCACATAGGTACAAACGAAGTAATAAATGCAGATCGATGCGGTTCAATAAAAAAGTTGGTGGTCGGTAAGAGCTGCATTATGTGGATGTTTGAAACCACGGGGAACTCCTTCCGCGCAATTCACTAGCTTTATCGTCTTTGAACAGTAGCCATGGGTAGAACAAATTCCTTGGGTCAGCTTTCTTGATGGGATTGCGAAGGATGAAGCTTCATTCAAGAAATTGATTTGAGTGACCAGCACTTTACAAAGTAATGAGACCAAATAAGATCGATAGCTTCTCGGGGACTTCACCTACTTTGAGCATCACGAACAGAAAACTTGGTGGTGGGCTGTTGTACAAACTAATGCTGCTTTACTGTGCGGAAAGCATGGCTCGTTTTGCTTCGACCTAAGTGGCACACAGCTAGAGAAATTGGTCTACCCGTTACTCAAGGTAAATTTTTTTCCGCGGTATGTCATATATTATCACCACCTGTCGAGCACAGAGGATATAAAAGACTGAAAAAGTTTTCACTCACTGCTAGCTTCAAAAGCAACGTGATGGCAGAAGGATTTAAGCATTTCGCTAGTCACGAGAGTGACTTATCACTGACTCATCAAACACAGAACTTTACGGAAGAAGTTTCTCACGTAAGCGGTACACCATCCTGCTTAAACGTCCATGTGACAGCTTAAATTGGAGGGGCTTGTTTGCTTGGTACTAGAATGAATGAATGAAGCTCAAACTTGAGCATGTCAAGGATACAACATATCGTATCAAGCTTACCGTTTAAATCACACTGGCCAATGGTCCAAAAATTTATACGGAAGCCAATTCTGTTTGAACAAGTCCAGATTTGAAATGTTTTGAATGCTACTGAAGATGACGAATACCATGCAGCCACAACGAAACCGTCTGAATGGAATGAGTGACTGGCCACCATGATGCTCGTCGAATTTTATGACTATCAGGAGAGCCAGTCTACTTCAAACAGTATGGTGTTAGTAGTATAAGCAGATTTGGAAATTTTCAGTACAAACTTCGTTCTGTAAGTGCTTCGTCCAAAGTACCAAGAAGCACTGTACAACTTTTCCCTCCTTATTGGGAATCATCAGGAACCTTGTGTGTTACGCAATGTAGGTGATTTCCACCAATGAGGAAACAAATCTACAGTGCTTCTTGGCTTCACCCACAGGACAAAATCTACACCAAAAATGTGTAGCGTTGGTAGTGTGGGGAGGTTTGGGTTTTTCGTGGAGCTTTCGTCCTGAAAGTGAATCCAGTCTATGCTGAAAAGCCGAGAAGCACTGTACAGCTTTTTCATCATTAGGAATCATCAGCAGTGCGCATTTCAGGAAACTCCGTAGAGTCTCGAACCCGCAACCTTGTAGCTAGTAGTTGGAGCACTTAACCGTTCGATCACGAGTGGCTGATTAGAAGTATGATTAATTCCCACTTAGACAGGATATAGCGCCACTCATCCTTCAACCACAGGATCCACATCACGCGGTCACACGTGTTGACTGGCTCCTCAAGCAACGACTTCTCAGAT